GCTGATCAGATGGCATCTAAATAACAGATGCAGAGAAAAAAAATGATCATGATTCTTTACTTCAATATGAAATTTAATTTGGGAAGAGCTGAAAATTACAAGAAGCAAGGAGCAATTTTCTTGTGTTACTGTACAAATTTTGAATATGAAGTTTAAGATACCATATTTTATTCTTATTCAGAGGAATTGTTTCATAAAGTCAGTTAAACTCCATACAGTAAGAAGCATCATATAAATGGAGCTACAAAATGTTAAAAATAGGAATCCGTTTTGTGTACAGATGTTGGCCTCATGTTAGAGTGGCCTTCTGACAATTTCTGTCAGGATTCTAAATGTTCCATCTATATTTTAGGATGTAACATGGGACCTCATTGACATCTACAGTAAAATAAAGAAGAGCCCTATATTTCCTATCTCTGCCCCAGTCAGAATTGTCCCATTTTACCAGTTTTTTTTATGTTGTGGTACATTTAACTCTTGCAAATAAAAGTTACTGCTTTTAAAGCATGTTTGGAAACACTGTCTTATGCAAGAAATTTCAATTTGCCTTTTTCACTTTTTTTTCTATAGAAGAACAAAGTAGACTTTTATTTTGAGTGATATGATTCCTAAATAGACCCATTAAGGTCCTACTGTTGTCATTTCTCTGAAGATTTCAAATTGCTTAAATGTCCATATACTTAAAAACTTTTAATTATGAAAATAAAAGAGAATTAGGAAAATAAGAGACAGATGTAAATTACCATTTGACTTTAAGAACAGCCTTTTAAAAATATAGTTCAGAAATTGAGCAATTGGGTATAGTCTTAGAAATGTTGATTTCATGGATGTTTTTGCAACACTCCAAAATAGCAGAAATACATTGCAGTTGTGGTTTTGGGGAAGTTGAAACATTGTCCATTGAGTTCAATGGACATATTAGTTTGTTGGCTAACTACAAAATAGAGGCAAAACTTTTTACATATTTTTGATCTTCTGATAGGAAAGCAAGCTGCAGAAGCTTCTGCGAAGTATTACAAGAAGCAGGGAGGTGACAAGGAAGGCTGAGAAACTGGCCTGACACAGAGAAAGGCTACACGCATTCAGTTGAAAGTGTGAATGTTTAAAGTATGTTGATCACACCATCTGTCATCACATTGCTATGTTGCTGCATTATAAGTTTATTTCATCTTTTATTCATATTTTCTTTCATTTAAGATCGCAGTTTAATAGTTTGAAAGTGATGAGGAAGCGCATTCCATTATCATAAGAATTTCGTATCTTTGAGAGTCGGTACACATCATTGGTTGTAAGAATCCAAACCCGGCCACACCTAATTTTGTATTAACATCTGTCGTTGTCTTGATATGTGATCTAGAGAAAGATGGGTAACCTTCCTTTGCCTCAGCTTCCTCATCTATGAAGTAGGAATGATAAAAATGGTACTTATGTCATAGAACTGCTATAAAGATGGAATGATGTGAAAAATAGATAACTTTAGGTAACACATAGCTTTTGTTATATTCCCCAGTGAGATAAATGGTGAGAGGAACTTAAGTGGGGCAATTATTCAGCAATTAATATATTACTAACATTTACCCCATGATAGCTCATTTAATTCTTTCTGCGGTCTCAGGAAATATGTATTGTGCCATTTTACAATTGAGGAAACTGAGGTGTCCAACATGAAGATACTTTGTATTGCCCTGTCAGCAACGTCAGGCAAGGAACCTGACACTGGGCTGCTGCCTTGTGAAATGGGGGTGAAAATTCATATTCTAACTTCCTAATGTTGGAAGGCTCCAATGAGCCACATCACTGAAAAGACCGTGGTGTCCCAGAGTCACCTTCTGGAATGTAAAGGCCTCCTGCTAGGAGTGATAGTGCTGCCATGTCTTCTCGCGAGTCCTCCCACAAGAAAGATAGTCTGTTGTCAGCCCCACGAGGTGCCAGGGAAATAATGCAAGGGTCAAAATAGCCTTCTCTGGGTGCTCCGGCCTCTCAGGCCTCTGGCAGCTCGATGGCCTGCAGCTCCAAGGCCTGGGACTCCTCATTCTGAGCAGGGGTGCCTTGCCAGCATAAAGTCTGCTGAGCAGAGGCCAGCAGTAATGACTGACACTCAGCTTAGCCCTGGGGAAAAGACTCACAGAAATCTCCAAAGACTTTGTCCCTGAAGCAACAAGTGAGCAGTTTTGCAGAATGTGAAAGAATTTTCAGTAGACGCGCCTTGGACATTTTGACCTCCTGTGGCCCCTTCCTTCTCTGTAAGTTAAGATTTCCTGTCACACAGCAGCAAGGAGATAAAGCAAACTAGCTGAGCTTTCTAAGGATCCCCGAAGAACCAGCAAAGACCATAACTGCTATGAGCAAATGCTGAAGAAATGCAGACCCCTCCAGATGGGTGCAGTCATTCAGTATTTGTCCTTCCATGGCTGGCTTAGTTCACTTGTGGTTGGTGTCCTTGGGGTCCATCCATGTTGTTGCATGTTGCCAATTTCCATCTCTTTTGGTGGAAATTGATTCCATCTTTTGATTTCCACCTCTCTCTGTCTCTCTCTCTCTCAGAGTAAATAAAATACATTTTAAAATGTTTTTAAAAATCCAGGATACCAAGGTGACATATTTTGAGGGGAGTGTGTCCTGAATCACCTCAAAGGCATAAATTAAAAGTGGCTGGAGACAACTGGGCAAATATATTTGCATTTCAGAGGTGGAATCCACTGAACTCTCCCATATGTGATTCAGTGTTGTGGGTCAGGGGAAGAGAAGGCTAATGCATCTCCCTTGGATATATTGAGTTTGAAGCACCTGCGGGATATCTAGGTTTAGATGCTCAGTAGACACCCAGAGTTATGGACATGGGGATCCAGAAGCAAGTCTGGAATGGAGCTAAGAGTTTTGTGAATAAAGGATATTAGAGATAATAGTTGAATCCAACATGGGAGTGTCAAATTGAAAAGGAAAGGGGCCAGAGAGCAAAGTCCCAAGGGATACCACATTTATGGGTAGTTGGAGGAGTTTGTGTGGCCAGCAAAGTATTAAAATCCTGAAATAGAAGCAAGGGAAAGAGAATTTCAAGGCATATGTAGTCCCTGGCAATGGCTGATACTTGGGAGACATTAAATAAAACATGAGCTGTGAAAAGAGGTAGTCAGGTTAAACAACACCATTTTTAACCTATGGTAAAGCACTTTTTGTAATGTGGTAATAAGATACCAGAATATGCTATATTGGGTGAAGGCAGAGACTGTAGAGAACTCCTTTATGAAATTGACCAGTGAAGTAAATTTCTTCATTTGACAGAGACAGGACTAACTTTTAAGGGTACCCCAGAGCTAAAGGCGAATGAGGAACAGAAGACAGAAGCTTAGGACCGAATATAAAAAATCTTAAAACATTGTCTCATGCTTACTAGTACCTAGTCTTATTTTTGGTGTACTCAGAAAATGAGCCAAAACGTGTAAATTCCTTCAGTTTGTCTGACTCAGTTTTTTTCCCTGTATAACTGAATGTTGTTAAGATCTGTTTATACCTAGGTGTTTTTGTTTTTGTTTTTTACTCAGCACTCTTGTAATTCCGAGAGCAGTTATTTCAAGCTTGTGCTCACCAAGCACCTCACACTACCTGTGCTACCTTTGCACCTGGTCATTGCTTAAGGAAGCATTTCTGAAAAGTTTTAAGTGGAATTAAAAGTGATGTTATGCTACTTAGGTTCTCTTTTTTCTTTTCCACATTTTTGGCTCTGCCTTCTGCTTTTAGTGATACCACGCTACTGAGCATGAGATTGAGAAACATGTTTATATAAGGCAGTGCCCTCCCACAAACACAACCCTTTACTTCCCTTTAAGAGTAACCAGCACTACTCTGATTTTTATACAGTCACAGCCTTGGTTTTTAAAATTGTTTTATTACGCAGGTGTACATCCCTAAATATTACAGGTTGGTCTTAGTTCCTTTTCTAAAGGCGTGTTTTTAAAGTATCTTTTTATTTTTAGGTTCGTTTCTTTCCCTTTTCTAATTTATCAGTTGACAAAACCAGATCATTTGTCTTGTAGAGTTTTCTCACACTCCAGATTTTGTTGATCACTTTCACGGGGTGCAGTTTAACATGTTTTTCCCATCCTCTGTATTTCCTGTAAATTGGTAGATGGATCTAGAGACTTCGTTTCAGGACCCTCTCCCCCTTTATTTTATTTTATATTTTGGGACAAAAGTACAGCTTAGGTAGTGGGGTGTTCCTCCCCAAGGGACACACAATTGTGTGTTGGGGAGGGTTGCAGCAATTCATGCAAAATGCCCAGATCTGCGACATCATCGTGTCAGATTTCTAGAGTTTCTTCATTCATTTGCTGGATACCGATATATTCTTGTCAGAACTACAAAGAACATGATTCCTGAAAGGAGTCCCAACAGTTACTTCATTCTCTCCCTTAGGTTTCCTTTGTTTTTGCAGTTGGACTGTTTCTGTGCTATCAGCATAAAGCACTCCTTTATACAGTGCTCATTCCCTATATCCTTGTCAGCTAGAGATTTTAAAATTAACATCATAGCCTTAGGCTTTTGCTATTCTGTCAATGTAACAAACCCTTTCTTCAGCTGTGACAATGAAAAAGATTAATATAGGAAACCTAATCTATATAGACAGAGGAATAATTCTTCAAAGGAATGTTACATTAAGAAACTATTGAGGCACCCGGGTGGCTCAGTCGGTCTGCGTCTGACTTTGGCTCATTTCATGGTCTCATGGTTCATGGGTTTGAGCCCCACATCGGGCTCTGTGCTGACAGTTCAGAACCTGGAGCCTGCTTCAGATTCTGTGTCTCCCTCTTTTTCTGCTCCTCCCCCACTCATGCTCTGTCTCTCTCCCTCCCTCTCTCTCAAAACTAAGTAAACATTAAAAAAAAGGTTGATAGAGCATTGTTATTGATTACTTAAAACTGCTGTATATATATATATATTGGGTCTCCCCTAAGTGTAACTTTACATCTTTTTTTTTCTTGGTTTTCTTTTGTGGCTAATAGAACATTCCAATGTACCGGTGGAAAAAAATATCACTTTAGAAAGACCTTCTAATATAGAACTCACATGCCAAATCACAATATCTAGGGGTGTGAATTCAGTAAATGTGACTTGGAAAAAAGGTGATGAACTACTTGAGAATTATCTCACCAATGCAACAGGATGCATCCTGTATGCCCAGTACATGTAAGTATATAACATTTTGAACTGCATGGCTAGATGAAATTTGTTAGCTTCTTAACATTTTTGCTGACTGGGCATTCTTTCCTTTGCTCTCTCTTGAAAGTTATGCTAATGTTCTATTTTGCATATTTACGGGACTGTTTCTATTTTAGAATTTTGACTGAATGCTAAGTCTTTTTCAGTTTGATCAAGAAGTGTTTTGAGAACTAAGTCTGTATTAATAAATTCTCTTTAGGTTTACCATCATTAATAGCAAACAAATGGGAAGCTATTCTTGTTTCTTTGGAGGAGAAAAGGAACAAAGAGGTACATTTAACTTCAAAGGTCAGTACTAATAATTTATAGAGTGATAATTTCAGCATTAAATTTTTAAAATTCTAAATATCCAAATATTTAACTTGTCATTAAAGCACTAAACATAATGAGCTGAGAGAAAATCATATGCTTTTCACTGAATCCTAAGTTGTGACCTTAAAAATGGAGCTTCCCAGTCTTCCCAGTGGTAGACTTTGTGTTTCCCAATCGACTTGCCATCCAGCCCCCCTCCCCTAGATTAAAGCACAAATTTTAGTTTGAAAGATTGGAGTGCCAGGTTATTTGCAAGTCATAACAGTCTCTTGAGTTCATTTATTTTTTTCATTTGCTTAGCCCGCTAAACTCAGAGCTTTTATACTATCCCTCTAGTATCTGTTATTGCACCCCTGGACTGTGAGAATGCGATCTGGTGTTATGTATCTATCAGTGGCTCCAGGACTTAGGGGTTTCAGGGATCCATAACATTTAAAAATAATATGGAGATACACAAAGGGTTGCCTGTTTTTGGTCTCCTCAAATAAGGACACACTCCAGAATACAATCCATAGTACTCTCCTGTGGTACAAACAAAGGTAAATCAGAGTATTTTACTTTTACTATCATTAAACCAAAACCTTAAAGCTCTCAATCTCATAATAAAGACTGATCTTTGAGTTGGATAATTATCTTCATGAAAAACCCCTATTTTGTGATGGATTCGTGAACCACAATGTCCATGCTAGTATTTGGGAAATGTGGTCTGTTGCCATATTCACTATTTTGGGCTTTGCTTTACATTAATTTCCCAGGGTACATGAGAAATTGTTCTCTACTTTTCCTGAAAATTTTGAAGTCTGGCTAGCTGCTCTGACAAAATATGGATACCATCTCCAAAGCCCCATCAATAGCAGAATGGCCTTCTTCAGTATTGTCTTGATTTAAGATGGTTTGCTCCTACATCCCTCCCTATATTCCCTCTATACTCACAGATTTGTTTCCTTCATGTGGTTTTGTAAATGTTCCTACTCGGTAAATGTAATAAATCCTTGTGTTCATGCAATTTGGTCTCTGCAAAGGCAGAAACTATTACCATCCTTTGATTATTTGATCATGGACATTCTCTCTTAACCTCTTTTCCTCTGTTTGCTTAATTTAATTTAGTAAAGGATAGATACACTATACATTTCCTTCTCTTATTCCCTTCCTTCCCTTGTCTTTGTCTCTCCTTCCTCTTCCCCCTCACCCAGTCCCCTCTTCCCTTCCTTCCTTCCTAATGAGCTAAAAGAATATTAAACACATATGCATACACACAATCCTAGTAAACATTTTATTGAGTCTCCCTTCAATGTGTAAAGAAATCCTATAGTTTTGAGGAAATACTCATCAAATCTTCAGGCTTAAAATGATTCCAGGAGATTCAATTTTAAAAATTGCTTTCCCCCCCTCCTAAATAGTACTTTTTTCTAAAAATATGTACTAGTGGGGCACCTGGGTGGCTCAGTTGGTTAAGCGTCCGACTTCAGCTCAGGTCGTGATCTCATGGTTTGTGAGTTTGATCCCCGCATCAGGCTTTGTGCTCAGAGCCTGGAACCTGCTTCAGATTCTGTGTCTCCCTCTCTCTCTGTCTCTCCCCCTCTCTCACTCTGTCTCTTTCTCTCTCTCTCAAAAATAAATAATAAAATAAAATATTTATTAAAAAATAAAATAAAATAAATAAAAATATGTACTAGTAATGCCTGTTCAGAATTTAAATATTGAATATATCATGCTTTTTCCTATCAGCTCTCTTATAATAAATTACTTAAATTATTATTTAGTAGTGATTTCTCCTGCCTCTAATGTGAAGATGAACAGAAGCATTTTACTTTTCAATGTGCCAATACACTTAATGCTGAGTGTTCTTGGAGAAGGCCTCTGGATTCCATATCTATTTTGTGATATCTAGGCTAATTCTGGCTGGTCTCCGGAGCACCAACACAAGGCCTAGGTTTGAAATCAAATGCTTGAGGAATGCATAGAGCCACTGAATATTTACTATTTTTTTTCTTTTTATAGTATTCTTAAAGTAGTTTAGTTCAGTTTATTAGTCTTTAATGCCCACTTATCATTAATGTAACTTTTAAGTATCTACTGTATCCTGAAGTTATTTAGAAATTTAATAAGTTCGGGCTTTCCAGATCTTCTTTGGTAAAATAATAATTTCCTTTAATTCATCTAGATTGAATATTGCTTGGAGGAGAAATTATATTTGATTACAATTTCAAGGCATCTGCAGAATAATTCATTCATATTAGTTATTATGTAGTTAGATATATAAGATACATATTTTTATAAATTATCCTACTATATTATGTCTCCACATGGCTTGTTTGTGGTTCTTCCTAAGAATAAGGGTTGTTTTTCCTTAGCAATGCTACAGCTGAGTGTGGTTGAAAAGGCTTTTTTATCCTCTGTTTTAAATCCAGCCAAAAAACGCATTCTGCTCTTGACTATATGAGTCAACTATAGGGTATGTGCCTGAGTCCTCAGAACAGTTCATCCGCAAAATCCCTGCTTTGGCCTTTATGGGAGCGGGTTGGTTTATTACCACAAGACTGTAAAAAGGCTTCAACATCATTGATTAGTATAAAGCAAACTGTGTGTTTGGCTGTTGATGCCGGTACAGGCGAGAGAGCAAAGTCATCCTGGAAGCTTGCAAGTGCTAATATGTCAGTGATTACTTTTCCCTCAAGAAAGATGAATGAATGCTGGTCTATGGTGTTCCTCGGCAGTGGGTCAAGTATTCCGACATAGTTGCTGAAAACTTCTACGATATTCATTAATGTTAAAATCTCATAGTAGAAAGATGCAGAAATTTGGTTGGTAAAGGACAAGTAATAGCACATAGAACTTTTTAGAAGTCATGGTGAGATTTTAACAGTACCAAATACTGCAAAACCTGTCTTGGAGTGGCCATCTGCCTTTACTAGGAAGTTTCCAAGGAGTCAAAGTATGGAAGAGTAGCATAATAGAGTCAGTTGGAACTTCAGCTTCAAACCCTGGTGTTGAAGTCTAGTTAGCTATCTTCAACTATGGGAAAGGATATTTTTCCTAATTTGATAATATCTTAATGTCTTTGAGCCCAAAATGACACAAGCTGATTTTTTTTTCTAGTCCATGAATATGCAAATATAAATCTCTCACCTTACAACTCCATTGGGCTTTTACTGTCACCAGGTACATCCCAGACTGCATCTTATTAGACATGAGTTTGAATTAGCAATTTTGCCATCTTCAAACTTGGGATTCTTCCATTCCCAAGACTCTCACCTGTCCTGCTATATACAAAGTTTCAGAAGGTCAACAGAACACATTCGACTACTGTATCACTGTCCTTTGCATAGATATTTCCAAACATAAGTAGCAGCCCACAACCAACTGTGACCTCTGGAGAAGTTCAAACAAATTCATGTTTCCTGACCATAGTGCATTTTATTATTTAGATCCATACTGCTGTTATCAACCATATAAAGCATAGCAGAGCAGTGGTTCATGTCCTCTTGGTCATGAGTCTAGGGGATAGTCAAGAAAACAGAGGAGATGAAAAGAAAATAGCCTTTTGCTTTTGTTTCCCTGTAGCATCACTAAGTCACTGCACAGTTAGTTGTCTGCTGTCTGTACCCTGATCTTAGCATTTCACTGGAATGATTTAGCAGCAGAGCTGTATGTTCCTCACCAAAACCTCATGAAATATCCCAGATTTTCTTGAAAATCCCCTTTCAGCTACCAGTCATGCTTTCCAACCCTGTGCCTCTTAGAGGCCTACTGAAAAACAGTGTTTTTCTGCCATGTTTCTTTCCCCAAATGTTGCCTTTCTTCCACTTTTGATTCGTAGCTTACAGGTAGATTTCAATATTTTGACCTTATTTAAACACGGATTTTCCCAATAAAGCATGTCCTAATGAATTTCCAGAAAGAATCATGCTGAGGTTGAGAACCAGGAAAGGTATCTGGGATAGGAGATCAACAAACAAGGAAAGCAGAAACTGTGCCCTTGACTAGTGGCCCACACAACTGGTTTCAAAGTCTGCCTTCAAAGCAGTGTCTGTTTTGAGGCGAGCCTAGCCTAGCTCTAGAAGTAACTATAACAGAGCTGCACTACTGAAAAGCAGTGCCAGATATATACATGTTGTACCTTTTCATGTGGAACTCAAGAAGTGTGGCTCTGCTTCATCTGAGATTTGGAAGGAGCCTCGTGGCTTCCGAAAAGAATCCTTATTTTAGCCAAGCTCAAATCTCTGCTTCATTTATAAGTCTTTAGTTGAGGCCTCACCTGAAGTAGGGTTGATCTTTCCAAGAGCTTCTGTGTTCTCATACTTCATTTAAGAATAAAGCCACACCAGGTGTTGGACATACTGGGATGAAGTATGATTAGGAAGTGATCTTGAATTGATAGATCGTGTTTTGTCAGAAGGCCCACAAATAACTTCATTCTCACTTGGTCCAGTCATTCCTTCTCACAGCAAAATCTCAAATAAAATATACACAAAAAAGGGATGGTCAAGCAAAGTAACAGTTTGTTATTGGCCAGTCTTGGCCACAAACCTTGCTGAAATTCTTGGAAGCCTATGCCACGTGGAAGGCTTCTCTTTTCTCAATTAGATTGTACTGACCTTCAACTAAAGCAGAGCCATATATTCCTTCTCAGCCCAAGGTCCATTTGGTCTTTACTACCAAGACATGAGTATATAGACTCCTGAGCCGGAAAAAAACATGCTGAGCATGAGGCTATGGTATTTATACTTCCAAATTTCTATCCCTGAAGAACAGGGCCTGATCAGTGCCCTGGACCATGACCAATACAGGATAATCCTCCTCTTTAGGACTGGGAAGCTGGAGGGCTGGATGGGAGAAGGGAACTTCTATTGAGGTCACCAGGGGCTTCAGTCCAGGCTTCTATAGCCACCAACTCCAGTGTCTAGTGAGGAAGCTGGATCTACCATAAGAAAAACAAAACAGAACAAAATGTCCTATGGTTCAGCATAATGTAGTCCTGTAACATCTTGACACTGAAAAGTATGGTCTTCTCAAGAATTAAAATACAGGTATGTTAATATCAGGACAGATGGTCAATCTATTCTCTTAGATCCTAGAGTTGCTTCCAGTTTTCTTATATTGGTTATTTTCCTGCATTAGAGTGGGCTCTCCAGGTCTACGAATGAGCCCCGGGGGGGTAGCCACAGACTTAGGACACTGAACAAAAGTGGTTTGACTTAATAGGACAGAACACTTATGCAAGGGACACACTTTACTTTTATTTTTAAAAAGGCACATGGACAGCAATTATTCTGTGATTTAAAAATTTAGGTCATAGATTATGTTAAAGTATTTGTTGCTTTATTCTGCTTTTTCTTGTGAAAACTAGTGTGTGGTAGATGGCCCCTTTTCTTTTTGTTCTTAGATTATATGTAGTATGTAAAATTATTCCATATATTCTTTCTGCTCCGTATACTACATAGGTCTGGAAACAAATTTTCTTTCTTTCTTTTTCTTTCTTTTTCTTTTTTTAATGTTTATTTTTGAGAGAGAGAGAGAGAGAGAGAGAGAGAGAGAGAGAGAGACAGACAGAGTGTGGGGGGAGGGGGAGGGGAGAGAGAGGGAGACACAGAATCTGCAGCAGGCTTCAGGCTCTGAGCTGTCAGCACAGAGCCCGATGTGGGACTCGAACCCATGAACCGTGAGATCATGACCTGAGCTGAAGTCAGACGCTTAACTGACTGAGCCACCCAGGCACCCTGACAAGATTTTCTTTTTAACTTTTTAACCTTTGAACTAATTTCATTCAAAGGAACAGTAATGAGGCACTCTGATTTAATTGTTTTAATTTATACTGAAATTGTAATCTTTATACAAACAAAATCTTATTTAACTGCTTTCACCAAGTACTTGAATGTGTGTGTCAAGCAGTAGAATTTGTTTTACAGCTTCACTCAGTTGTTTAATGTATGTTATTAAAGGATGGATTGGTGCCATCACCCACATCTCAAAGCTACTGTTTCTACATTCTTTTGGGTCTTGTTTCCTGTGAATTCATCCCTTGAATTTTTCATTATTTTACTTTGATAATCTCCTTTCTCACATGGGCTGGGTGGTCCATCAAGGACTCAGTTTGGAGGCTTTCCCCCATTTTGGAGTGTTCTTACAGGTCCCTACAGTTCTGAGATATATTCAGATGAATTTCCAGTTTTCTTTTTTTATTCTAAGTCTTATTTCTTCTCTGTCCAAAATGACTACATGACCTAGAAATCATCCTCACACATAATGATAATCTATCCTAGTAAGCTGGCTAATGACCACTATGTAGTAAGGCCATGGGCATTACAACTTGTAAGAAGGATCGGTTAAGAAAAGCAGAACTAGTCCATGATCAAAAGTTTGTGGTGTTTACTCTGTACCAAGGACTTTATGTTTTATGATCCCATACTTAATCCTTTACAACAACACTGCAGGATAGGTATGTCCTACCTATGTCCTCAACAGGAGTAACACTGAAACTGTAATTTTAATGTATGTATTTCCTGCACCCAAATCAATTCTTTGTCACATCATTGTCACATTGGGCTGACTTCCTTCAAACACTTAATGAGTTGACCTTTGAAATGCACACATACTAACCACATATTAACTAAATATCCCTCAGCCTAATGGTGACCAATAAGGAGTGTGGGACACTAGTGATCTCAGTCAAAGGAATGCACAGAGTATCTTCTCTGGCTAGGATGTCTTCAATCAAGATAGTCATATATACTCACCTCTCTCCTCTCTCAGGAGCACCCTAGTGGAACCTTACTAGGTTTTCATATACTATTAGTGGGTGATTATAAATTCAGATAGACAGTTCACATCTTTGTTTAATGTAAAATTGTAGACCATTCAGTTTCATAAAAACATGTTTCCTTAGTTATGAGGAGCATGAGAACCATTGACTTATAGATGGCTCAGTTATCTTTCTTATGATTACTTAAAGCATTTATACTGTCATGGGTGACATATGTTCCTCTTATTTGCATCTCTTTTTTATTAGCAGTGCCTCATTCAACACTCTGCTGGTCAGCAGTCTTGATGAAGGAGAGGGTGATACGCACAATTGTATTTAGGCACAATTTAAACAATGAGGAATAAAGTAGACTCCCCACACCCATCATTGTAACATTAATCACCTAAGGACAGATTCTATAAAGAAAACCTATTCTCCAACCTATTTTTACCATTTCCCTGGCGATTATACAAGTTAGAATTTCTTTGCTAGTCATTAGTAATTATTTTCCCCTTCCTCATCTTTACAATTCATACATCCAGCAAGTGCCCAGTTATCTTTTATACTTTCTGTTGCCAAACAAAAAAGGGAAGAACAACACAAAACCAAAAATCTGCTCAAATGAGTAAAAGAGAAAATAAATAAATAAAAGTAATCTTTGTTGATCAGTCTACATCTCTAGTGTAAGTATATTCCATAATATATCCTTTGAGGTCAATAAGAAGAAACTGATTCAACCATGGAGCTGGTGGCTGTCTTTTTATTGCTTTGCTTATGTTCTTTTGTTTTAATTTTCTTTACCAAGTCATTCACGTCCTTAAAACTTAACATTTCTAAATTCAGTGTTCACTTTGATTCTGTTACTGGTGAGTAGTAAATTTCTTAGGAAATTTGTCCTACAAAACAAACAGACAAAAACAGAAAAAGATTCATAAATAGGGACATCAAACTGGTGGTTGCCAGAGGGGTGGGGCGTGGTGGGGAAAATGGGCAAAATGGGTAAAGGGAAGTAGGAGGTACAGGATTCCAGTTTTGGCGTGGAATGAAAGGTCCAGCATAGGGAATATAGTCTATGATACTATAATAGTGTCGCATGGTGTTAGATGGTAACTACACATGTGGTAAGCATAACATATAGACTTATCTGATCACTGTGCGATGTACACCTGAAGCTAATGTAATATTGTGTGTCATCTGCGATCCAATTAAAAAAATAAATGGTTTCACATTGTATGAAGCTAAAATTACATAAAGCAAGTTATATTAATGAGAAAATGAACGAAAGGAGAATTTGTCCTCAACTTGAATGAGTTTCCTTATTCAAACTCTTTCAGTAACATGTTTTTCTAAATATTTCTTAGTCCCTGAGATTCATGGAAAAAACAAACCATTGATCACTTACGTGGGGGATTCAACTGTCTTGATGTGTAAATGTCAACATTGCTCTCCTTTACATTGGACCTGGTACCATAGTAATGGGAGTGTGCAGGTAAGATCGTATTTCTTTGATCTGAAGAAAACAAAATGGAAACTTTTATTTCATAAATAATAAGATTACCACCAGAATCAGAATTTCTAGGACCATTTGTACTTCTATTATCTTACTATTTAATATGTATTCATGAAGAAGAACAGTGATAAATGCAGTTGTCATTGAATGTTTTTAGCATATTACATTTTACATCTGAAGATACTCTTAATGTTCCATTAACTGGTACTTTGTTTCTTAGATTTAGCGACTTAATTTAAATATTTTGAAAGGAAGTTATAATTCGCTTTTAGTTGATGAGTTTAGAAATGACCCTAAGAAAAAGATTCTCTTCTCTTATCATCCCATGAAAGTATCTAGAAAAAGTAGACAGTTTTCTTTTTCAGCTTCTGTCTCTGGAAACATTTGTGATAGAATGCAACACAGTGGCACCATTTGAGAAAAGAATAAAAATTTGGTAACTTAAACTTAGGTCTTGGGAGTGTCATTGGCCTTTCTTGGCCTTCCGGAATCCTAAGGGAAGCAAAAGACTTTACATTCCTGTTAAAGAATTAATGGCTGTTCAAAGAGCTGATAATAAGAAAAACATGAGCATTCAAAAAATCATTTCTCACTCTTTTTCTTCCTCCCAAATAGCCTCTAAGAGCAAGGAAATTTAGCACATTGTCCTCCAGGGGAACATCGTCTATTACTCTGCTACTAGTGAACAGTGAAATTAAAACAAGCTGTAATTCTAGGAGGGACAGCATGAGACAGTGTAGACCTTACAATGAAATACTAAATTCCTTCTTAGACAAAATTGATACTGCCATAGACTGTTGAAGAGAACCAGAGGAAGGACTTAAAAGGGAGAGTGTCTGATTCTGTGGTGGGTTTGATTTTTCAGAGGAAGCTCCAAGTCACTTAGGAGTAAATTTAAACCAGTCACATTTCTGCTTATCTTCTCATTGGTGATTAGGAAAGGCAATCATTTTGTGTGTGTAAATATTTTTTTAAGTATGTAAATTTATAAAGATAAGTATCAATTGTAGTACTTGAAATATATAGCCTGATTTATTTATGTATATGGGATACTAGGCAAAAAAATAACCTAAATCTGATGATATTAAACTCTCAGGATGTAGTCTGTGCCTCTCTTCATTTGCTATCGTAATTTTCTCTCAATTTGGTCCTCAGCTAGGGTCATATTAGGATGTGAGGAAAGTGTAAGGAAGAAGGTGCAGGTCAAAACTTTAAGTCAAGTGTTCTTTTTCAAAATGTAGACAAACCATCTGCATCAGAGTCATCCGGGGTGCCTGTTAAACATGCATTACTGTGATTCATCAGTTCTGAGTTAGAGAGGGTTTCATTTGAACGTCACAGGCAGCTCTGTGCACAGGGAGCCAGGTTGCTAAAATTTTGGCGGGGTGGGGGGTGCAAATAATAAACTCACAGACGATTCTTTATCAGATAACCTCTGAGAATATTTGTATGCAGATTAGCACTTATCAAGCAGGGCAGTTGAGTGATAGTGCAGTGAGGGCATCAAATGGCCTGAGAATAAATTTTAATTTAAATGGATTAAATAAATCAGCTCCACAGAAGTTTCGTATGGCTCTTTAGAGGCTGGGGAAAATCCAGTGAATCCCAGAAGCCACCTTGCCTGATAAAGAAAGAAATTCAGATATGAGAAGACAGAAGGTGTGCAGACAAGCACATTTACCAGACTCACAGAGGATTTCTACCCTTCCCTCTATGTCAGCTTCAAAGGCCTGAAGATTTCACCCTCAGTTCCAGTCTGAGGACCTCCCGGTGCCAGGGGCCAGTGATCTTCCTTTATACAAATGATCAGATTTAATAGCTTCATTAATTCATTAAGTTCAATAGTTGATTTGATGTATGCCTGCTCTTGGGAAGGAGGAAGTACTTTAAACAGCTAGATAGGACTTAGAACATGTAACCCAGATGGCTGGAATTTTTGTGTAATTTTAATTCTGATATTTACCCACAAGCACCTATACACTAGTTTCAAAGACTGAGTGCTTAGCACTTAAAATATCCCTTTCCTTTGCTACCTTTGGGAGAGCAAACTCTTGGACTCTGTTACTATGCCTTATACCTTTTGCTCAAACTAGATTATTGAGGATGTGTATCTTTTATGCAATATGATAGGAATGGCTTTTAATGTCTCCTCATGTTAGGTTCCTATTGATGTTCAAATGAGCGAGAAGTATGCGATCAATAGAACAAATGCTAATGAAACAAGGCTGAAGATCATGCAACTTACAGAGGACAATCAGGGATCTTACTGGTGCCATGCAGTATTCCAATTAGGCGAGAGTGAAGAGCGCATTCAACTTGTGGTGCTGAGTTACTTGGTGCCGCTCAAACCATTTCTCGGAATAGTTGTTGAGGTTGCTATTTTAGTGGCTGTTATTCTGCTTTGTGAAACATACACCCAAAAGAAAAAGAAGCACATAGGTAAGATTTCTTTTTTTTAGGTAATGTTCTCACGTTATGACTTAATACATTATAGTGGCTTTAGAGTTTGGGGGAAATGTCTAACTTTTGTTATTTGGAGTGGTATTTATGCTAATATTAATGGTGAAAGTACTATGAATTTATACTGATAGACTTTCTGTTTCAACTTCCTAAGATATTTTAGTATGAAAATATACTTTTTTCCCCCTTTTTCTTTGGTGTTACTGGTTCCTAAACACCAATTAGGTGATACGTGGTTTGGTACTGGAATATTAGAAAGTCCCTTCGTAGCTTAACATAGAAGATCTCAAAGACTGTCTTTCAGTTAGATAACACATTTCAAAAATATTTTATCAAACATTCTGGAGTTCTTATAAAAGAGACATTTTCTGGTCAGTTTTCTATTTCTGTAACATGTATCTTACAGATTACAGGTTGAGAAGCCAATGGTCCCCTAAGAAAACGTGTCTTACATTCTATATACTTTTCTGATTTTGTACTAAATTTTTATTAACTTAAATAATGACAAATTAGTTAGCCTATTTTGAAAATCCCAGACACTAGACTATGCCTGATCAGAGATTGGAGGAGGAGCGCCTGGATGGCTCAGTCAGTTGAGCATCTGACTTTGGCTCACGTCATGATCTCACAGCTCGTGAGTTCGAGCCCCACGTTGGGCTCTGTGTTGACAGCTCAGAGCCTGGAGTCTGCTTCAGATTCTGTGTCCCTCTCTCTCTCTGCCCCTCCCTCGCTCATGCTCTGTCTCTCTCTGTCTCTCTCTCAAGAATAAATAAAACATTAAAAAAAAATAAAATAAAAATTAAAAAAAATTGCAGTTGAGGTCTAGAGAGCAGGGAAAGGGGAGAACATGATCGATGTGCAAGTGTCTTGTGTGGTATATCTCTTTCATTCCAAAGAGAGAAAACTGCACAAATGCATTTTTAACTTGGGGAAAGTTGAATTCAACATACGTGATCCGTAAGAATAACAAACCAATCTTGATAAATTCTTCTTTTGCTACACAGATGATGGGAAAGAATTTGAACAAGTTGAACAGCTGTAAGTATTATTTTTTACAGATTAATTTTCACTTGAGTAAAATACAAACAAGTATGAAATTGAATATAAAAGTTTGCAGGTGAAAACACAACCCACAAGTGTAACATTATGCAGGTGTTATTTTCTGTACACATCTGTGTTGTGGGGAGGCTTGCCTGCAAGGGGGCCTCCCCTCCTCCCTCCACCACTCACTTTTACCTCTCTGTGCTTTGGTTTTCTCCTCAACAAAATGGCTTTAATGATTTGCTATACAAGGCTTTTGGACCAAATGCTTAGCCTGGGCTTTGATGCACAGGGGTGTTCAGTAATCATAAGGAAGTATTATTGTGTAAAGTAGTATTTCTCAAACTTGGCTATATCTTTGGTTACTTAGGATGCTCCTTAAAAATACAGTTGCTCAGGGGGCGCCTGGGTGGCTCAGCCAGTTAAGCGTCCGACTTCAGCTTGGGTCATGATCTCACAGTTTGTGAGTTGGAGCCCCGCGTCGGGCTGTGTGCTGACAGCTCAGAGCCTGGAGCCTGCTTCCAATTCTGTGTCTCCCTCTCTCTCTGCCTCCCCCGCTCACACCTGTCTCTCTCTCTGTCTCAAAAATAAACAAACATTTAAAAAATTTTACAAAAATACAGTTGCTCAGACTTTACTGGATCTCCTGGATCAAAACTTCTGGGATTGGTGCCTGGGCATCTCCATTTCTCTAAAATGTCGATCACTGATTCTGATAATCTGTCATGTTGAAAATCACTGGCCTAGAATTTTATTAGTCACTACTTGTGAGAGAACATTTATTGTGCCACAGGTTCTCTTACAGCCCCTTTGTTGAGAGTCAAGCCTGAAGAGGGCAGAGAAGAAAATTATCAGGAAAGTAGCTTAGTGTGGCGAAGATGGGAGTTACTAGGTCCTCTAAGCTGGAGGAGTGAACATGGAGTCCAGTGATAGATAGAGGTCCCCAAGTCTGGGATTCAAGATCTGAGTAACATAGCCAAGGGCTGGACCAGGAAAACGAGACCAGATTAAAGCAGCCGATAGAAACCTAGGAAATGGAAGGCCTGAGCAAATGTGACCAATACAGAATGGCACTGAAGTTTATCTTTGTCAGCCGACACAAGTTCTGAGGTGTGGTCTATAGCCATGGTTAGAGAGTGTGGGAGCGAGGTAGACCGCTGTCATTCAGATATTCGCAGACGTTATTCAGATAGTTCTTTTTACTCTGTTCACATATGGTCAGTAAAATAAATATGAACTTCTAAAGTAAGGACATGAAATAATTATATCAGGAGCTCTGTGCTCTGTAACCACAGAAGAAAGAGGAAGAAAACAAAACAAAATAGTGTTGTCTTAGCATAAACACTTACAGTTGGAAGGAAATTGCACCTCTTTCTGGAGAGCTTGGATACCTTGTTTATACGGCTTTGAATGTTTTATCTTTTTGGTTCCCGCGTATTGATTCCCATTGTTATACTTGCAGTCATATAAAAACAAGACCATCATTCAGATACTTGAAACAGTTACAGACTTGCCTGAATTCTGTTCTTCCAGCTCAGCTGCCCCAGTGTTTCTAGCCATTCCCTTGTACTCACATTTGGAGGCTTTGTGGTTTGTGTAACACACACTCTGAAAGGATGACATCAGAAAAGCATGGAATAGACATCAATTCTCAATTTACTTTTCATTTATCTAGCTTACCCGGTTTAAAAAATATTCTTACAGTATTTTTGTCTAGAATACCCTAAGAATAATGTCAAACTGACTCAATCTATAGTATAATGATTAACTTTCTTTTCTTTTATGGATAAGTGGGATAGTGTACATAATTTTCTCTACCCTGTCCTGCTCATCTCCAGTTTATTTCAGTATCTTTAATTTTAATACAAGGGTCAAGGGCACTTGAATTCATTTGTAGTAACTTTTACCAATGTTCTTTTAGAATTTTTAGTTTAGAATTATCATTACATTTTATATATAATGTTTATATGTTAGATGCCAGGGAGAGTCATAGAGTTCCTTGATGAAAAGAAATCTTAAAAACAGTACTAAGTGCGTAACATCAAAACAAGCTAATCACTTCATGTATTTCAATGAGGAGCTCATTCATTTATCTGATCCACTCATATGTTTAATGCATACACTCTCATCTACTCACCTCTCCCTCAAATTTTGCTTAGGTGGTTGAATTTACTATCTGGTGGTAACAGCTTAATGAGCTCAGGCCTGCCCGAAAGACCTAGAAGGGTATTCTTATGCACTCTTGTTACCTTGTTTAGTCATTCTTGCCTTTAAGAATCTGAAGCCTGTATTTGTGGTCTTGCCCTGATGTACATCGGGTAGACAGAGAACCGTGTGTAACCTCTAATTGTAATGAACATGTTAGATTACAGCACCCGTCTCTTATGTATTGGCTGAATTTCTGATTGACTGTTATCTTACAGGCCTCAAGACAGCACACAAGTTATAGTCATATACCCCCAAGTCCTTACTCATGTTGGGCGAGAAGCAGTTCTCCCTCTGCATAAAATAAAAGGGACTTGGTTACAGTCATCTATGGCAATAGTTCTTCTCTAAGCAATGGTATAAAAACAAAATCAACATTATGAGTAAAACATTTTTAGGAAAAATTAATTGTCTGTATTGACCTTTTACATTTTAACCTGATGGCCACGTTATAGATGGTGTACTGACTTGATTTTATGTAATGTAAATATCTAGTGGTTTTCTTTTTTGTTTTCTATACAGGAAATCAGACGATACCAATGGTGTAGAAAATAATGCCCCCAGGCACAGAAAAAATGTAAGTTACTTCCAAAGGATATTCCAAATAAAAGGAAAAATTCATATATACAGACTCTTATTCCAGCTACACTTTTTAGTTTCATACAAGACCTAATCATTTACTATGTGCTTGAATATGCTTGTTTACAATATTATAGAAGAAAATTTATAGTTCTGCAAGAATAAATGATATCTTTTTTCTACCATAGAACATGTAGCAACAAACCTAAAAGTAAATCTACTGCACTGTGTGTGTGTATATATATATATATATATATATATATATATATATATATATATCACCACGGGCTAGCTAGTTCCTTTTACTACTTTTCATATAGTCTTATTTTTTTTTTCTATCATAGGTTTTCTGGGTCGTCCTCTTTTATTCTCATATACTGCCATATATTTGGTGCTATGAACAAATCCATATTAACTTATTTTCTTTACTGATTAGAATCCAAATTTTCATAGTTCATCAACATTTTTTCCACAGTATTTAGGATGGATACTGTTGGTTTTGGCAGTGGTTTGGATCACTCCTTGCCAGCACTTTTTGCTTTGCTAGAGTGATAAGTAGTTCTAGAATGATTAGGACATGCTAATTATGTTTCATTATGCTTTATTTAACTCAGGAATCCGTGAGCCAATGAAAGTGAAACATCGTGTCAAGAGTCATGGGAACATGTGCAGTTTGTATTTCAGCTTTATTTATGCTTCCTATTAAGAACATCTGAATTTTTATTTTTGAAAGGATGAAAATTTTATGCAATATATTGCTCAGCAGTAGCTTTGTAATAATATATGTATGTGGGATCTAAAGATATATTTTCAATCTGCACTTATTTTTACATTAAAGCAAGGTAAATTATATTAAATATGTTCTATGAGCTATAACCTAGGATGATTAATTTCATCCTGGTCATGAAGGGATGCACAGAACAGATACCAGTAAAACCAGTTAATACTACACAGAACTAATGTCATTCAAGACCTGTTTATAACCAAAGAATTCATTAAAAAGAAAATCTTTGCCATTTGCCTTAAAAAGTTGTTTTTTTCTAATCATGCTTACTACGTATAGAAATATTTGTAATAATTTTCATGTAAGGTTCATCCTCTGTCACACTGGAAAAAAACCATCTTCACTAGGAAATGAATACTTTCTGCCTTTGCTAACAGTTCACAATCGCCACAAGAAAAACATACTTTTCCTCCACAAATAGCAGTTTAAGGCAAGGAAATATAACCATATACTTGCCCCAAATCTCCCATCACCACAAAAAAAGCCCATTTCCCAACCTTTGTTTCACTCCTCTCCACTGCTTTCAGACAGCAGGCAAAAGTGACTCTTAGTCTTTATGTGGAGCATTTTTTAAATGCCATGGGTTTGGGATTTCATAAGTTACACCTGGGCTGATGCTGTAGGATATAGGTCCATATAGTCATAATATAGCACTGCTACAGGGTTCTGTAGAAGCACTGCTTCTGTGGTTCATGGTTTCCTGGTATCTTTAACTTGGTACCTGGTGCCCTGATACTCATGGGTAGCTAAATATCTAAAAAGGCTTTGCTACTGCTTTCTAGTCACGATTCCTTTGTTTGAAACCCAGAGGTACTAAAGTATTTCTTCTCTGTTGTTGTAAATGCCGTAGACTTTTCTTCAAAATTTGAATGGTTCCGGTGGTGTGTATAACTGAAATATTTCATAAAATCACTTTAACTAAATCAAATGAAATAGATCATGAAAAATTGTCAGTGGCTTTGAGTGGACTATTAAAATCATACTGCAGGATACTAGACTGTGTTGAAGATGATGATGTGAAGCCTCAGTGTCCCTAGTGCTGGTGGGTCCAGTATAGCAGCCATCAGAACAAGCAGAAGCCAAGAGGGAAGAGTTGGGATGGTGACAAGAAACCCATGATTTGTTTGGTGACTAGGAGACTCACATTTGGAGAAGAGGAGTTCAGTGATTTGTAATAATAATAATAATAATAATAATAATAATAATAATAATAATAACTTCTAGAAATTTACATTGTGTCCTGGCTGAGAAAATAATAAAATTGTGTTAATGAAAATTGGAATTTATATGGCATCTTAACTGATGTTAAAAGTATGACTAATAGGAGTAATACACATAAAGTCGTGACTTAGAAGCTGCTCATTGTTTTGTTGCAGAGTATTTTGTGTAAAGCATGTTAACTACACATACACGTTTTATTGAACTAGACATCCCTTAAGTAATGGCAGATTTTATTTCGTTCTTAGCCTCAGAGCCATAAGCCTTGCATTGTTTTGGTTGAATTCAGTATTTGATAAAATTCTCTTGGATGGTATCTATATGATGGCAGACAACCAATCAGGTCACTTAATTAATATAAACAATTTGAATTCAGTGAAAAATGAGACCTATTATTTGACTAAGTACAACTCAAAATGGTGTATTTATGATTGGTATATACAAAACAATTTGTAGCTCGTAGGCAGTACACATCCTTACGTTTTGCAACACTATTTGGGCTAAGATATTTTTCAAGCGAGAAAAATTGCTGCCCCTTGGTAATCTGAAATGTTTAAATAGTAAGTTGAATTTTTAAGGGTCAATGCTTGCTATTTTTCCTAGCAAAGGCAATTCATTTCAGTGACTTTAAGCAGAAAAAGTACTCAGAAAATTAAAGTTGAGTTTTGGCTTTTTAGATCCTCTCTGGAAGAACTTCTGGAAAATTACTTCAGACTCTTAGATTAAAAATGGAATGCTTCCATTAACTAACCTCATGTGGAAGATAGATGGATTAACTCATAATAACCAATTGTAAATTGGCTGAAAATTCTAAGTAAGCAGAAAAGCTGAAGTAGGAAAACTGCTCTATGTTTATTTATTAGACATGTTGGGAAGTTCTATTAATCTTTCCAGCTAACAGCGTTTTGCAGAATAAGTAGATTTAATGATGTCTTAAAATTCCCAGATACTTTCATATTCAATTTATGCTCTAATGTAAATCTTCTCCCCCATTGTATCTGTCTCTTTTTTCTCAGCATCTAGGTACTCAGGCCAAAACCCAGAGCTCAGTATGACATTTTCTTCTCCTCTATTAACTAATACTCATTATTAATGAATCTGTTTCTTTACCCTTCTCAGTAGTTCACTCATCCACCCATTGCCTTCCCCACCCCACTCTCACCACTGCAGTAGCAAGGGCTTGGCTTTCCTTCTTCTGTCTCATCTTCTGTTAGTCCATTTTTTGTACTGCTGCCCGACTCATCTTTCTAAAACACAGATCTCGCTATGCTAACTTAATATGGCAGCTTCCATTCGGCAGACTCACCTTTGATATTCCTTTTATTTTTTTTTTTTAAGTTTATTTGGAGAGAAAGAGAGCATGTGTTCACGCACCTGTGTGTGCGGGGGAGTGGCAGAGAGGAAGGGAGAGAGAGAATCCCAGCGCAGAGCCCTACACAGGGCTTGAACTCACAAACTGTGGGATCATGACCTGAGCCGAAATCCAGAGTCGGAGACTCCACCGACTGAGCACCCAGGTGCCCATTTCTTAATACTGCAGTTTTCCAAGTTGCTAATCTCTCCCCAGTGTCTTGATTTAGCCTTGATATACAGAGATCCGGTGCAGAATGCTGTCCCCCACCCTGTGCTCCTTCCATGGACTGGCTCGAGTTTAGCTTTCAAAATTTTAATCTGATGTTATTTCCTGGTAGATCTTTCACACCCAGTGGAATATATACCATGTTATTTCATCAAATAACTCCACATTTCTTTGTGTTTATTACCCTGTAACATCTGTCTTCTTCCTGTGTCCTGTACCTAACCCACCACAGAGAGGGTGCATTAGAGATGTCACAAAATGTGTGTTGAATAGGTAAATGTATCAGTAAAAATCAATCAAGTTTCATAAATTTGTAGTTATTTTTAGAACAGTCTAAATTGTGACATCAGAATTAAAACACATTATTTTAACAGAGATTAGGTTTTGAGTCAATGTTTGCTTCTATTACTTTGAAAGCTACACAGTAATAGAGTCAAAAGTGTCATCAGATTTTCATAATGTATCAATATCTAGTGAGTGAAGAGAGCTCTGATTCCTAAATGGCTATACAAGGTATGCCCCCTTCAATTTATTTAAAATTCCTATTGTCCTTTATTTTTCATGAACAGTTGGAATATTAACCCTATTTTTATCTTTTATTTTAATGAGATAATGTATTGAATTTAAATATAAACAACTTTAGCAATTATAGCCTTTGCATGGTGCTGTAGTGTCCCCCGCCCCCCCCCCCTCATGTCTCATTTCTCTTCCAATACCTTATAGTACTTTAGAGTATCTCAGAATCCCATTCAAAATTTTATCTTAAATAAAAATTTTTAAAGAAAGGTTTCATTGTTTAGTTTTGATCACTGAAGATTTGTCTTTAATCAAATTCATGAAAGAAAAAAAAATGTCAGTTCCGCTCACTTATTCCCTAGGTCTTCATCTTTGAGGCATTTAAATAGATTTATACAAGATGGTTACTGGATATTTACTATACTTCCTTACAGAAAATGCACTTTTCTAATTGAAAAAGGCTATGCCGTTAGTGAATTAGGGGACTTACTCCCTATTACCCTTGTTCATCTTCAGGTGGGAGTGAGTTCAAGTATGTGTTGCAGTATTAGTTAAAAGGCACAGGAGTGCCTGGGTGGCTCAATCGGTTAAGTGTCCAACTTCGGCTCAGGTCATGATCTCACAGTTCTGCATCGGGCTCAGAGCCTGGAGCCTGCTTCGGATTCTGTGTCTCCCTCTCTCTCTGCCCCTCCCCCACTCAGGCTCGCTCTCTCTCTCTCTCTCAAAAATAAATAATAAACATTTAAAAAAAAGGCACAGTGACCTACTTAAAGCATGCTCTGAGTTAATATTTATTGGATGAATGAAAAATAGATGAATGACTCAATTATGTTGCAATCTTAAATTATACATATTTACATAATATCTACTTTGATTCTGATTAATTAACTTTGACTCTATCCTATCCAGAGAAAAAGAAAACTGAAACTGCCTATGTTCAATTCTGTGGTCCATAGGAATGTATTTGCACTGAATCTAGATGGTCAATTACATGCCAAATTGAGTTCCTCATTAAGAATATATAAATTTCATTAAATAATAAAACCTGACATTTGTCGAGTGCTTAGCATGTGACAGGCACTGTGCTGAATGCTTTGACATGTGTTGCCTCCTTGAATCCCTACATCACATCCTTATGCTACAGGAAATATTACCATTTGCTGTATTAGAGATGAGAAACCCAAAGCCTGGGGAGACAGTGTTTGGAGCTGGGATGGAAATTCAAGGAGTCCTTCTCAGGAGTCTTCATTTAACAACCATGTTGAACAGTTTTAGCCCCTACTTACATGCGTCTTAGAAAATGAGGCTATTATCTATATCAAGTATCTTTAAAAAAAATTTTTATTTTCTCAGATGGTCAGTTAAAGAAGTTCCACAATCTTATCCTCAAGGCTTATAGGATCTGTACTTGTGTCCCTGTGAGTGGTGCTGGGGGATCATGACCCTTCTGTTCCTTTGGAGAGTCCTTCTTCCCATGTCCCCCTATTTTTACTCCTCAGTAGTTAGTGTGAACATTAGCTTTATCATCCAAACACTGAGAATGAAAGAAAGCATATGTATCATTTCACCAGGACAACAGACAGAAAATGGACCTGTATGGTCACATTTTTCATCTGCAGGGAAGAACTAAGTACTTTATGGATATTCTAGCCTAGGCATAGCAGTAACATGTATAGCGAGTTTGAGTGATAAATTCAAGGTCATGGAAAGAACTATCTTTAGAAAATGCCAGGTGAGAGTCACTATAGACAAATACCTATTATGAGACAATTTAGTAAGTTTAAATATTTATTACTTTCCAAAGGTAATGTGATTAAAATTTATTATAATTCAAAAGTATGATTCACAGTTGTGAGAGATGTTGGAAAAGAAAGTCATGTTTTTGATAACCTGTGAAATGAATTGGGCAATTCTTTGGATCTGCTTATCTTCGTGATTAATGTATCATTATAATATCTGTGATTGTCAGTGAATCAGGAATGCCTCATTATGCTTTTATAATAAAATTTACTTACAGAATTGGTGAAGATTACTCATGAATAGCATTGTCAAAATTACTTTTAATCACGTGATTAACTTGGAACATCTATGTTTCTTACTCTCTCATTTTCCAAATAAGAAAATGCTAGGGAAACTTGTTTACAGGATATTGGTTAAAATCTTATATCATTTTGGTGTGTTATCTATTATGGTTCAGAACTTTTGCTCACAAAAATTGATTTTGCTATTTAATTTGTACTGTACTTCAGGGAAAGCACAAATTCTCATTTTTCTATGTTTTATTTGATAAATGGAAATAATAGACATATTACATATGTAATTAACTATAATGTTATTTAATGGCACAAAAAATCACAAAATATGATTATATTAACAGCTTTTGTATCTCTTAAGATAAAAATTTGACCATAAACTTTACTTTTTTTTTTAAATCAAGGACCATGGATTTATGATGACATATTTCCTAATAATTTTAATATTTTCTCTTTTTTTAGCATACGTGTCTAAATTTCCATAATGCCTTTCTGATTTATGTAAATAGCACAGAAAATGTCTGTATTGGAATATTTAAAGAAAGCTTTTTGTTGCATATAACTCAAAGAGTGTACTTAATATGCAATTAAATTCAATAAAA